TTGGTGTTTTTTTTCGACTGACAGACTACGTTTCAATTATTTGGTGAACCTCTCACGCGAGATGCTCCACATTCGCATGCCACAACAACTGACCGTGGTCCAATAAATCATTTGATTTGTACACTTGCCCGCGGACAGGGGCGTGGTATGGGAGGGGGCAGAAGGGGAGGGGGTGGTTGGAAGTCCAAAAGGGACTTGAACTCGTGGCACGTGGTGTGCGTGCCTTCCGGTGCTAAATCAAGGCGAGCTCTTTCGAATTGTCTTACCTTTCGGTGGAACCATGGACCAACACCAACCCACCACCCACATGATGTTCCCCCGCTTTCGAATGGGGAAGCAACTGTAGTTAATATTTATGGCGATTTAATCTTCTCACTTGAGCGCTGCTCAGTTAAGTTTGATACAGACGAACCCAAGGGGAGCCCCCTTTTTTCCATCAGGATGACCCTTTTTTTTGGTTTCTGTTTTGCTGGTTGTGATCCTTGGAGCAGCTCGTCCAGCTCACAGTTTGTTTTGCGTGTCCATTTAATTTCCGCCTGGAATTGCTTAATCAAACACAGCACTGGGGATAAAAGCAACACCATCCCTGACATCCAGCACATCTCCCTGAACTCTGGACAAATCGCTTGAGTTTCATACGGACAAACGCCAAAGTTGGCTTAATGAGTAGTTTAGCTCATGTTCCCACACAGCCGTTCATGGACGGGGAAGTCAATTTTGGACAGGGGGTTGACTTTTGTGTGTGTGTGTGTGTGTTAAACAAACAGCAATGTGCATTAGCAACAAATTGTTATTGTTGCCAGGCAAAAGGCGATAAGCAAAAAGTTAAAGTTACTTTTGGCAACGGAGTGGGGATAAAAGAAAAACAAAAGTAACCAGCAACTAAATAGAAGAAGATACTCATGAAAGACTTACATTTTGATATTTAAATCTTTAGGCTTACTTATATACTCAATTATCATTAGATTAATTAAAAACGAAAATATTTCTTAAGATTGTAAGACATAATATACATTTAAATGGTTTTGCAATAGATATTTTAGGAATTTTGTTTTTCTTGCAACATAGAAACTTTAGCTAAATACGTAGGCTTAGTTCTGGAAATTCAATGATTAAACGGAGTATTTCTACGTTTTCCCCCATTAGTTCACTTTATCTGGTTGATCACATAATCTACCCACTTCCCATTCCCAACTCCATCCCCATTAACAGTATCCAGTGAAGTAGCAAATCGATGTGGAATGGAAATCGAGGCTTTCGAGCTCTAATTTAAATTAATGACACACAACAATTGGACACGCCCCGTATGAGGGCAGCCCTGCTGCAGGCCTTATGCTTTATTTTCAATTAAACAAATAGCTGAATTTGACATTTTTTGTGCTGGGTAAAGGCAAAGAAAAGGAAAAGTTCAAAGGAAAAAATCATAAACGGAAACAGCAAGTCGACGAGGAAAAAAGCGATAAGAGCGATGACAGGCCATTCGCATTCGCATCCCCATTCCCCATCCCCTTTTCGACGTTCCTGGAGTTTATTCTTATCGCGATGGCATCGAATCCTCTTGTCCTAGGCAAATGTTTGCTTTTCGCTCGCACCCATCACCCATCTCCCTCTTCTGTCACCCAACTCATTCCTTTAAGGCGATTACTTGAATTTCCCGGAAAATGGAAAATTGCTAAAATTGAACACATTGCAGTTCAGTTTCGTTCATGATTCAATTAGCCATAGACGAGTGAACTCAAAGGAGATAAACCAAGCTCACTACAAGTTAGTTAAAGGCACTGTGAAAACTTTTTTTTAAGTTATGTTTATAAAACTAATATAACACACTGTCCATAAGTCTCGAAAAAAATACATTTAAATTGTTTAAGCTTTAGCCTTAAAATCCAACAGAAAGTGCCTTTAAAACAACATCTTATCCATACAGACATTTTCCAACTACCGAAAACTAAGTTCAAGCGACATCAACCATAACCAAAATTGGTAAGTCCGTTCCATCATCATCATCATCGAAGATAACCAACTTGCTTTTAAGCCCCAGATTAAGTCCAGCCAAGAATGCAAAACAAAAACTGACCAAGTACAAAACAAAAAAAACGAGTACAAGCATCGAGTACCTGGGTACAGTCACCTGTCAGTTGTCAGTGTCAGATGCATTGTAAATTGCAAGTTCATTTGCGACTGGCATTACATCCGCTTAAGCGCTTAAGCCAGACCTTCTTACACGAAAACTTCGCCAAGCTGCATAAATTATGAGCCATCGAGTGAAACAGAAGTAGAGAGAGAAAAAAAGAGAGAGATGGAGGTGGAGAGGAAAAGAGATGGACTGCGGACAAGGTACAGTCACCGCTAATGGAACATAATGAGGTGCCATTAGCGAGTGTCGCGGCTAACTGTGCATTATGCACTTTTTGGCGCCAGCGAAGCGTTCAATTGGTGTGTATGTACTTTGCTGTTAGTGTGGCTGCACTTTCTGTACCTTTACCTGCACTGGCCACTCTAAACTTGACAAAAATAGTGAAAACGTCTTTATTTGATTAATTTATCTTTTATTATTATTAGCTAATTAAGTTTAACTGTGCATTAATAACTTTTTGGAGCCAGCTGCACTTTTGATAAACTTTCGAAGTGCCTATACCCTTAGCTGCACTGGCCACTCTTAGCTAAACAAAATAGTATATTAAAATTAACTGACACGAAACCAACTAATGAATGATCTGCCTCAAGCATCATTAAGCATCTCAGCTTCACTTTTCACGCTTTTATTTGATTAGTTCATCATTTATTATTAATTAATGAAGTTTCGCAGCGCTTGCTGTTTATTGTTAACCATTATTAAACACCTCGAACAATAACAAATTCGATGCGATTATAATAATAATTGCGGATATGATCAGAATTCAATTTGTAGTATATGTTCTGCGCTGGGAAATCCTAACAAACATAATAAGCCGCACGAAAACCAGTTTCAAATGTATTTCTATTTTGGTTTTTGCGTTCAACTGCAATCCAGCACCCAGTTATATGGATGATGCTGCAAAAGTATTTATAAACATAAATCCCAATTGAATGGGTTTATCGGTGGGAGGAAATGTGATGCGAATAAATGAGGAAAGTAAAATCTAACTGACTCAGCTGAAAGTGGTTTAAGATGAATGGTAAACCTTGAACTTATCAACCCATTAGAGATCCCCCATCGTTTTCACACCCATTTATTATGTTTACCCACGCTGCAGAGAAATATTATATATATATATATTTTTCAATGTATATATTTACGTTTCCCATTTGGTTAAGATAATTTTTGCCTTTTCTTTTGCAAAACATATTAACAAACCCAATTAAGTTCTACAGAATTTCAGCATAGATCATCAACCCTGAACTTTTGAACCTTTATGAACCTCCTGCTGTTTCAACATCTATTAATTGTCATCACATATCCATTGAGGAATTTGCCAAACTTTGCTACCGTTTTGGGTCCATACAACATCATCAGATCTTAATCTTTCTTGCTCTTCCCCATCATCATACATCCACTGATCCCAATCAACATCATTATTATCATCATCATCATCATCACCGCCGACTTTGATGCCCCTCGAGTTGTTTTGTTAGAATAGAGCGGCGACTTTTGTTGTAATGGCCCTCGAGTGAGGGCATTTTTGGGTAGCCCCAAACACTCGAGTCAGCGAATCGCGAACCGGAACTCCGCAAAAGTGTTTTTCTCTTTGCATTCTTAGTTCTTTTTTTTATGATTCTACTTCTACCTTTAATAGCAAACGGGCGCGGAGATCGGAGATTATTTGAACAATCAGAGATTAATTGAAACGTGGATCACTTTAAATCTAATATTAGAAAACTTTCAAGCGAAAATAGGTTCACAAGTTGTGAACCTATAGTAAAGTTTGGTTAATTTTAACGGTAAAAGCAAAATAAATTGACTCAAATATATTTATACACTTTTCAAAACAGTGTAGGTAATTATATTTTAACATTTTATTTTATCTTATAACTAGTTTTAATCAAGGTATGTTTTTATATATTTGTACAAATTTAAAAAGTCACATAAAACGAAGGAAGATCACTTTAAACCTATTATTAGAAAACCGTAGAGGTTCATTAAAATCTCTTTTAAAATCTTTTGAGTAAAAATATTTTGCTTGGTTAATAGGTATTATCTATTCAACGGCTCCAATTTCTTAATTCCTATTTTAGTTCATTTAATTTATATTTTAGTCAATTTGAAATTTAAATTTTAATAGATCATTTTGAAAAGAAGGTTTCTATTTTTTTTTAAATTTTTATTCTTATAGATAAAAATACGTTAACTTTAACTAGTAAATTCAATTTAGTAAAATATAATATTAATTAATATAGTTGGAGATTAAAATCGTCAGGAATTTCTTTCTAATTACTACAATTAAGACATTTTGAGCCTGCATTCTTGAACAAAAGTCTAAGTTTATTTTATGCAAAAATCTTTAAAGTGGTGCTTTAAAAGGCAAAGGTTGACCCCTCTCCTTAACCCTTAACCCGCAACCCCTTTTCCCCGCCCCTGCTCTGTCGTTGCTATAATTAGTTTGGCCGCAACATTTTGACCAAGTGCCAAGTGGCATGTACTACCAATATGCACCACTCAGCGGGTTGCAGACCAAAACCGAAACCACAGCCTCACCCAAACCCACAAAAAATTAAAAAAGAAAAATACGAAAACGGGGGTGCGCGGCGGGTCTTGATGGACGATTGAAAAACTATTCCAAAAAAATTGTTTGCTGGTCGCGTCTGTCTTTGGCTAATTAAACGGCCAAACCAACACACAAATGAAAACGAAAAAACACCGAAAACGAAAATAAAAACAAAAAAAATCTCAGGCAAAAAAGCCGAAGAAGAAGTTGAACAGAAAACAATTAAAACCGAGCATGGAATGTTTGCCGGAGTGTGAGTGTTTGATGGGTGGCTATAAAACCAAATCGCTTCAGCGAATTTGCCAGCAGTTGCCATTCGAGCGTTCCCACATCGAGAATTCGCATCCCAGTTGTATTCTTTTTGTTTTCTATTTTTTTTCAAGTGATCCCTGTGCAATCTGTGATTTGTGAGAAAATGTTGCGACCCATTTTGACCATTGCCGTTCTGCTTTTGGGCTTTTCCTCGGCCGTTCTGGCCGGACGTCTTAGCCAGCGGTATCTGCCCGCTCCGCAGGCCAGTCAGCTGCACTATCACGGCGTCAGTGGCCAAGGACACGCTCGTCCTGGCGCTGGACATCCAGGTGGTGCGACGGGCGGCGCTTCCGGCTTCCAGCGCCAGCAGCAGCCCCAAATTCCGATCGTGCGGAGCGACTACCAGAGCGACGCCAATGGCAACTACAACTTCGGGTTAGATGGCAAATCAATTTACACAAATTTAAGCGTTAAAAAAATATCATATTTCCTATTTTAATATTTTTATTCGAAAAAACATGAGCACCAACAACATTTGCTAACACATAATCCCTATCTATTACTACACATACTATACATATCTATATTTTCCTAGAGATACCGCATCTATTGAAAATTCTTTAATAACATAGGAATATTCAAAATACATTCTAACTAGCTTTAAGCGAAGGTTCAGGCCAACTAAAATGCTAAGAGCTTACGCTTTTATTCCAAACTATTGCTAAATTATTTTGGGCACACTTTTGAATAACAATATTTCCATCTATTTTGATAATACTTTTAATTCAATTTTAATTGAATTTGAAGTTATAAAAAAATCAAGTAAAAGTTTAAGTTCATTTTGACTTTTCACATTTACATTCAATATCACAATCGTAAGGAGACGTATTCGAAATGAATAATTTGCCTTCTTAGAATAATTTATGATGCCCACCCTTATCTTTTCCAGCTTCGACACGGGCAATGGAATCCATCGCGATGAGACCGGGGAGTTCCGTGGAGGATGGCCCCACGGATCGTTGGGTGTTCAGGGATCCTACTCGTACACTGGCGATGATGGCAAACAGTACACGGTGAACTATAAGGCGGATAAGAACGGATTCCATGCCGAAGGTGCCCATCTTCCTGTTTCTCCATCCGTTCCCGCCGTTCCAGCTGGGTGAGATTATATATTATTATTATACCAATATATAATCGCAACATTATGCTCGTACACTAAAAACCTATATGACTATACCTTTGTTATATTGAAATATTATATATGATTGTTATATCCATTTGCTATATCCCTTTTTGCTTTCTTTGCATTATGTCCCTATATTAATAGTTCTATACAATATCCCTTTAGTATATTCCGATATTTTGTCTCTAAATTTTATTCCTATTATTATTTCCCTATATTTTATCCCTATACTATTTCCCACTATTAAATCCCTTTAATATATGCCAGTATTAGTTCCCAATATTATATCCCCATGTATATCCCAAAATGTTCTATGTTCTATTTCTTTATCCCTATCCCTATTATATCCCAATATTATATCCCTATATTATATCTGATGATTTTGAATTCTTAGTCGCAGTTCTTATGGCGCTGGTGGTGGTGCTGGCTATCGAGGATCGGCATCGTCGCATGTCCCTGCTCCTGCTCCAGCTACCAGATATTTGCCCCCAGGATATCGCCAGCGCAGGCACTACTGAAGGACGTAATCCATCTATTCTATGTACTGTAAATTTCAATAAATTGATACTCTTTTTGGAAATACTCAAAGAATTTGTTTTTTACTTATGAAAACAAAGTTACAAATCTGTAATTAAAAAAAAAGATATCAAAAGGGAACCATTTTAAAAACCCTTTATCTTTAATATAAAAATTGGTTATATATTTAAATTGATTTTCCACTATAAACAAAATCATAAAATCCCAAGAATGCCATTAATATAAAAAATATGTTCTTTATTTAATTAATATTAAATTAATTGACCAATATACATATACCCTGTATAAAAACTTCTACAAAAAAAGACAACGAAAAAAGATGAAACCGCCTTAGTAGCTAATTTAAGTGAACAACTTCTGGGCTCCGCCCACAAAGAAGCTGCCAGAAGAACACACGGCCACGCCTTTTTGGTGTTCGCCTCTTTTGTGGACTTTGACTTTTGGCCAAAAACCGAAATAAGTTCTTGCCAATACAAGCATACAAACTTTGATGGAAGGGGTAAATTAATATGCAGTTAAGAAGTTAAAGTCTGCAATCAAAACAAGCTCAATCCCTACTTTGGCCACGTTACTAACTTTTTTCGCCCTTTCATGCAAAAAGTCTCAACTTTTTGGCCATTGTCGCCCTGGCATTAATCATAAATAAAACCAACTTTTTCCAAACGTCTGAAAGGCTGTGTTTATTCTTGTCTCCAAAGTCTAAGTTTTGCGCTCAAAACCCAAGAACAAAAAAAAAAGGAAAATGGCAAAGGAAAAGGAAAACGAAAAGGAAAAGAGGTGAGAAAAATTACTTTTATGTCGTAGATTAAGGTGATATGATTTTTGGTTTTCTAAGTTTAAGTCTATGTTTTGTTTAATTTTGTTTGTTTTTAAACTTTATTCAACATTGGTGATGCATAGCTTATATATTCGCTCTTGGTTGACAAAGGAAAAGGTGTTTAACCTACTTTGCAATTTTGAAGTTGGGAAAAATATCTGTTAGCCTTGTATGTGATATTTTTTTCTACTAAAATATTATAATTTAAAGATATTTTTATTTTATTTATATTTTATCGATTTACTAGTTTAAGATAGTTTTGTTAGAATTTTAAAATATAATAAAATATGACTCCTTATTATTCGAAAACTTCTGAAAACGGTAAATAAAAAAACCGGTAGCTAGTGAAAATAAAAAAATAGCAAAAAAACGTCAAGCTCTGAGCCTTTCATGGCCTTTTCAAATGTAAATGCTTTCCATTTTCCCACCGCTTTTCTCTATTTCCCTCCCAGCCTCCTCCTTTCTCCGTCAAGTTTCCTTCTCGCATTGTCTCTGAACTTTCTTCACCGCTCTTTTTTCGAAATTGTTTTCGTTGATTTTTCCCCAGCTATTCTTGTGTCTTCGTCTTTTTCTAAACCGTCGCTTGGTCGTTTAGCATTCGCATTCCGTTTTAGCATTAATTAAAATTACACTGAATTGCTCGGAGGCATCAGGGGGATTCCCAGAAAGGAGCAAAACAAGACAGGGGAAGGGGAGGAGAAGGGGAAGGGGTGGGGGGAGATTGGGGAAAAGGATGTTCTCATAAATTAAAGGCGCTTATGAATTTTATGAATTATTTTCCATGTTGCGGCCTCGCTTGAGAAGATGAACAATTGCCGGCGATGAGGGGAAAATGCAAACACTTAGAAAAATTCTTGCACAGCTCTCAGTATTTATATAAAAAAAAATAATACAAATTCATAAGAACCTTGGGGCTTTCATTTATAAATTTCATTAGAATTCATAGCTATTTTTAAAGAATAATCTCTATATTCTCCGTAATTTTCTTAAGTGTATTAGGACCGGCCATTATGAACAGACATCGTCCGGGAAGCGCCCGAAAGTAGGCAGCGCTTATTGAATTTCATTAACATGTGAACTGGGTCTCCCAACTTTTCGGGGGGGAGTGGGCTGGTAAATCAGAGGTTCTCGGGGGTGTGGCAACTGCAATCATTTGCATGCATGTCTGTGCATGTTTAACTACATTTCCACCACCTCCACCCTCAATGAACTCACTTAATTTTATGCCAAAACAATGACACGCCATAAATTTAAACGGATTTGGCGTCGTGCCGCTAGCAAAAAAGCGAGCGAAGAAGCAACCCTAAGAGTGGGGGGATGGGGTATGTGGCTGATTCAGGGGTGGCGTTTAAGGGGGATCGGGGGTACTGACACTTGCCAGGGGCAAACTCACTTTGAAACATGTTTTAATGGCAAAGAAAATGCTTAAATCACACACGGCGAACGCCCTCAGGTAAGAAATTCCGCAATGGAAATAAATATTTGCCGGCACTTGAAAACATGTTGTATAGTGTCATGTGCTTACAATGCATACGCATAGTTTTTGGCATCTATACACAATGATTTCCTTTCCTTTTTAAGGAAGTGTTCACACTCATTGAAAATTAATTCAGTAATTATTTAACAAGGAAAGGAATGTAACAAAAGAAATATTGTTTTTTAAGAATTTTGTTCTTTAAAATATTCAAATAACTTAAAACGTATTGCTTAAATAAAACCATTAATATTATCAATGGTTTAGTTGATGTTTTGCAAGTTTTTTTTAATAGTCTTGAAAAATAATAGGAATTCGGTTTTGGCCTTTTTAACTTTATGGAGTTAAGTAAATTAATTTTCTTTGAAATTTAAAATTAAATTATTTAAGAACATAAAATTAAAATACAATTATTATTACTGAAATTTAACAATTAATATTTTTAGTTTAATATTATTGATGATTTGCAAGCGTAATTAAATAGTTTTTAAAATACCAAGAGTTCGTTGCTGACCTCTTTGGAAATATAAATGTTTAATAAAAACAAACAATGCATTAAACAACTTTAAGGCTTGTGTACAGCTAACCAAAACTTGAAGCTTGAATTTATTTTTACAACATAATAGTTATAATTGCGTGCAAATCCGCCTCAAGGAGAAATTGAGAAAAGCGAACCTTGCGTTTGTGTCAGTCAATTTCAATGTTAATCCACCTGTGTTTGGAATGGAAGTGGATGTGCTACGCTATGTGTGTGTTGATATTGATATGGCAGTTGCACGCACATTTTCCTCCGCATTTTCCGCACTTTCCCCCCTTTTTCAGCGTTTTCAGAGTTTTGCCCCCCCTCAGCAGTTACATTATTTAGCCTTAGCTTTTCCGACTTGGGTGAGTCATCTTCATTGGCAATGCGAGAACGTTGTTACCCGTCCCAGCGGACATCATTTTCATTAAAATTTTAATAGTCTGTGTGTGTGTTGCTTACCATTTTCCCCCATTCCCCCCTCTTAGCTCACACAGTGAACACACGTAATATTATAAATTTAGGAAGTTATGGAGTTAACTAAAGTGCCTTTGGTTCAAAGGGAAAGGGAAGGCGATTAACTTTTCTTATGGAATTTATCTGATATTTGCGTTTTATACTCCATAAATTAAAGCTTTTTAGATTTCTATATTTTTACAAGCTTTATATTTCCTAAATAATGTTCTTGAATGTAATTAATCCGAATTTAGGTCTTTAAAATATAACCCCTGACTTTCATAACATATTTTTCCAAACAAAAAAATAAATCGTGAGTGAAGAAATAACTATAAAACTTCGTATGCTATAAATCTTAACGCACAAGCAAATCCCCTTACTCGGAAAAATGTTGTCTTCCCCTTTTCCAATTCGTTTCGAGAGCAAATAAATCGAAGCGAAATGGAAAACAAGAAATTCCAATAAACTAATTTGCACAATGCGTCGAGGAAACTTTTGGCAGCTGGTTGACGGGAGACCTTATGGACCAAAGGACCCAATCTGCTTAGCCCCCTTTTAGTCAAAGCCCCACCCAATCATTCTTAGCCCCCTAAACTTTGGCAAGTATTTGCGTATGAATTTTAAGCAGCTGGAACAAATGCAGAGCCAATAAAAGGGATAAAATTGAAAAGCAGCGAGCATACTATATATATATATTGTATATAATTTGCATATGTGTGCGTTGGCCGCAGAGAATCGCGTTAACTGGCAACCGTATTCCCTGGCCTCCAAACTCAGCGTAATTGTAAGCGTAACTGCTCCACCCCAAAAAACCATTGGTAAATATACACAATTTCGGTACATAAGAGCTTCGAGCATCTTGTTGCATATTTGGTATAATAAATTAGCATCGCGTTTCGCATTATTGACTGGATTTTGAATAATAACACACAAAGGACCTTTCGAGCAGCAGCAGGACGAAGAAGGTGCAGCGGCAGAATCCACGGGATCCATGTAACTGTAGACCGGCGACAAATGGAAAAACCCAAGCAGGACCACTAACGAAAGTGAACAGTTGTGCACTGCAAAAAATATATGAACTCTACATTGTTGCAGATCTAAAACTAAATCAAAAGGTATGCTGTTTTAACAATCAGCGTGGTAGTACATTCTGTATAGCTTAAGTAAAACCATTTGGGAACTATAGGTACATAGAATATAATTTACATTTTTATTGCAACAGTTTTTTTTTGAAATTTTCAAATATTTGAAGTGATGTCTACCAAAAATTGCTACCTTGTCTTATACAGATATTAAAAAGAATTTGTAAACTATTTCTAAACGCCTAAACGTCATATTCAAGCTACGGGTTTCGCGCAGTGCATCACATATCACCAACACAAAGGCAGCGCCATGTACTACATTCCAAATGCTGCAATGGAGGAGGCGAAGCCGAGATGTGGCGAGAATATCCTGCTGGTGTTTGGGGCGTTACACACAACTCAGCACAATTGCGCACATAAATTTGGTGCGCCAAATAATGCGGCGGGCGGAGTGAAGTAAAGTGAAGTGAATGGCACACTCAAGTCAACGGCATGGCGTCGCGGATTTCTCGAAACGGTGGGTAAAAAAAAACTAAGATCCAGCAAACTTAAACTCAATAATTGCTTACGGCATTAGATTGTTTAGAAAATCTTTATCTGTGTTATTTAATTTTATAATTAATCATGTCATGATTTTATAGCCAAATAAAAAACATACAAAGTTACTATCGCACCGCTTTTAAAGAGCAAAATTTGTTA